GGCTCTACCGCCATGCCTGGGGGTCCAGGAATGGTGGGGAGCTCTTACAATGGCTGCATTGAGCTGATGTAGAATGAATTCTGCTGCTGATCGTGATTCTCCTTTTTTTTAAATTGATTATGGACAGTTTTTATTGGATTGTTTTTACCTGTTGTGAGCCACCCAGAGTAACTTAGATGAAATGGCAGCCATACCAATCAAATGAATGAATGAATGAATGAATGAATGAATGAATGAATGAATTTATTTTATGGAATATTGGGCCATTGCTACAATGGGCTACTATGTTAGATGGCTATCTGCTACCAACATTATAGGAGAAGCAAGAAAATAGATGTGCCTTTGAGTGTCAGCTGAGAGTGAATGACTGGCCCAAAGTCACCCAGCTGGCTTTGCACCTAAGGCAGGATTAGAATCCACAATCTTCCCATTTGTAGCCTAGTGCCTTTAACCACTACACCAAACTGGCTGTGACCTGTTGGACCATCCTTTGAGAAAAAAGTAGTAGTGTGATGTGACCAGAATGAACATTAAATTTTAGGCTGGCCATATTTTTTTTACCCCAGTGCTGGACAGTCTCATGATCGTCTAAGAAGAGTATATATCATAAATAGAAAAATAATTGTAGTGGCAAGCAAACTTCAATAATAAGTCAATATTTACTACTGGATGCTGCAACAGCCACAACTTTGCGAATAAAACTGGTGTGAACATTGTGGAAATTTCAATTCCACAGGAGTAATGGGTCCTGGATTTTTTACGGGTTCCTTAAGTTAGCAGATTTTAGGTACCTTGATTCAAAAAATGTTGTGGTATCATGCATCGTTTGGGCTAACCTGAGGGTACAGACAGACAAACACAATAAGAGTTTTAGTAGTATATAGATTAAAAACTTAATAATTTTGTTTGCCCTCTTCTGTTTTTGAATCTGGCTAATCTATGATGCTTCAGAGCCTAGACTGGGCTGATCTTGTTTAGAATCAGAAAGCAGGAATGGGCCTTGTTGATTTTTAGATAGGTGACCTTCAGGGAATACCAGGGCTATATATATTGGAAGAAGGCAATGGCAAACCACTTCCATATTGCTGCCAACAAAAGTACGCCAGTATCCACAGCTGAATTCATCAAAATCATCATCATCACCATTATTATATTTTACTTTTTCACTTAATACATAAAAGCTTTGAGATAGTCTATTTTACTTTAAATTCCTTTCTTAATGAATTCCCAAGATGGAATCTGCCTTTTTTACTGCAAATGCACATGCATTTTCATTGAACTATCCACCATAACCTCTTCTCTCAAGTGTTGTTACAGCTTTGATGCACGGGAAGGTGAGTGACCTACCGCCCTAAGCCCCATGTATTTGTTTGCAGCTTGCAAAGCCAACTCAGAGGACAAACCACTTTTCTAACTTGCAGTTGATCAACACAAAACAAACGTTGACTTTATCCTTACTACTGTTCACGGTAAACCAGCATTTCTGTAACAGGATCACTGAGAGAACGGAGGAAATCTAACTGCTTCCTCCATATTCCTAATGATTGTGTGAAAGACTGTTGGGAAGAGAGGGAGAGAGAAAGACTGGTGGAGATGTGAGATACAGGAACTATTTAGGACAGCAGCATTAAGAGCTGAAAAAGATATCTGCTTATTCTTTAACTAAGAAAAACAGAGCTCCAGAAACAGATGCACAAAGTCTGCAGCTCTTGAAACTTTCCATTTAGCTAACTGAAATTAAAATTGTATCAATCAGAAGGATTTAGACCTTTTTGGGAGCTCACTATATAAAGGTATTCCTACCAGCAGCAGTGAAAATCAGCAAGTGTGTTTGCTTTCAATGTCATTGAAAGACATTGTACTAAGAGGATGAAATGGTTCTGGGAGTAACTGCATTTAGAATTTCAGGTTAAATTCAGTATCAGTTTGAATTTAAATCAGGTTTTCCCAGAGAAGTTCATGAGGAAAAGGATAAATTTAGGAACTTCTCTCCCCAGAAAGAAAAGATTATATTTCTTTTGTTTGTAAGAATGAACAGAGGACATGACATAAAGATGCAAAGTTAGGGATGGGGGGAAGAGAGAGATTTTCCTATAAAAATAACAAAAAACATAAAGGAAAAACACTACTGAGAGATGGGAGAAATGAACTCCCCAGTCATATGCTAATTTCCTGCTTAAGGAACTACAGACCTCAAATATGGCAGTTTTATATGGATTCCCACATCCTTATCCTCCCTTCTCCTTTCTTCTCTAATGCTGGAAGTGGTAAATGATTGACCAGCAAATCATTATGCTAGAGATATAAAAATTTGGTTAATTATTTCTACTGTTAAGTGCCAAATCCCTTAAGCTTAATTAATTCAACTCTGCAAAACATGTGTACAATAGTATTTCCAGAATTCAGCTGCCTCGAAGAGAGATTCAGCTCATAACATAATTCAACATCATAAAGTGCTCAGAACTGTCTTGCTTTTGAACATTCTAATTAGGGACGTGCTAAAAAAAAAAACCCCAAAACAAACGACAAAACCCCCAAAAACAATTCCCTGCCTTTCTCCTATCAATTCTTATTCAATAGGGTAAGAATTTCTTTTCAATATTTTTGTCATAGGAGAAAGTAATTTCAGAAGAATTCCAATGAGTGAAATGTGGGGTCCTTCCATAAGATGTGACCAAGGAATGTGCATTTTAATACACTGTGCTTCATTGTACAATCATCTCTCCAGTGGGTTTCAGCCACTTCACACCTTTCTTCCCATTAGATGTTTATTCAGATTGGGAACTGTGGCAGCCAAGAAGGCTTCAGAATGATAGAAAGATGTGGAGCAGAAAACACACCATAGCACCAGAGGTAGCATCTTCTGCCACCTCCAACAATAGTTCAAAAGTACAACCAAAATAATAAGGTAGAAAAATCAAAGTCTTTTTTTTTTTTCAGGGAAAGAACATTTCTAAGAAATTGCAATGTGAATTTTTGCACACCATTAGCTTCAATACATTGAGGGGGAAAATGGCATTTTCCCACCTACCTCGCCTCCTTCTCAAGTATAAAATATGGGGGAAACAAAGTTGTCTGAGGATAGAAGCTGATTTCACTCCCCCCCCCGTATTAAATTAGGCAAATAAATTAGTGCAGAGGAAATGTAAGAGTTGGTTCTCAGACTGTTCAAGATTTAATTGGCTATTATATAAACAACCAGCTGCAGACTTCTCAATTAACAGTGGAGAGAGCTGCCTCTCCTCCCATCTACTATGAGACCGTGAGAAAAAGATTCACAAACTTTCCACCCAAATGTACCCAGGGATATGCTGATACTAAATTGAAAATTAGTTCACTTACTGAAATTCTTGAAAAACTACTCTTTCATTTTAATAAATCTTGCTAAAGAGGACTCTGAGTTGATGCTTGGGAAAAAAAATTACTTTCCAAAAATTACTTTTAGTTTAGGCACTGTCCGAAGGCCTGACAGAAAATATATGATCCTTGCCCACCAACCCTTGTTTTCCTATTGATAAGAAGGCAGAAACAGCAGCCACAGAGAAGCATCTCTCATGCCTTGAATGTATAATGGTAGTGTCTCAGGTGCCATGGATCCTGCAAAAAATAATTTCCTAGGATATACAAAATCTAAATTTCCCAGGTGCCCTAGCAACCAGGATATTATTACTGCAATATTTATTCCATTATGGAAAGAAGGAAGCACTCAGTTTAAACTGCACAACAAATGCCTATTGCTAAAACAGCAGAACATTACAGGCCTGACAATTTTGTAACTAAAAAACACTTGGAGTTCTAATACGTTAATTGGAAATTTATGTATTGAAGTTGACGATTTCAGAAGAAGACAAAAAGGAGAAAAAAAATCTGAAAAAGATGTTATCAATGAACGAAAGCAATGTTAACAGTCCATAGGAACTAAAGTACGAGGAAGCATTCTGTCCTTTTCCTCTGCTTAATCGCCATATGGAGAGGTATTTTGCCCTGGCAGCAAACAGGAACATATTCAAGAATAATATTTATTGCATAAAGAAACCCATATGAAGGTTCAGACTTGCACTTAACAATGGCATAGACATGTTGTTGTTCAGTCGTTAAGTCGTGTCCGACTCTTCATGACCCCATGAACCATATTGCACCAGGCCTTCCTGTCCTTCACTGCCTCCCTGAGTTTGCTCAGTACATAGACATGTACTGGCAATAACTCTTTTGTGCCATATCCCCATGGCACTGCATTCATCTCAGCCCTCAGCGCATAAGGGCAACAGCATTTAACGTGTCTTCCATAGCATCTCAGTATTAAAGGAGCCTTTAACCTGACCTTGCTCAAGGGCAGCCTGGAGTGTATAAAATCTGTCTGGCTCGGGCACCCATCACCACTGAGCTGTTTCTCAACCTTGGCAACTTTAAGATGCGTGGACTTCAACTCCCAGAATTCCCCAGCCAGCAAGGTTGAGAAACACTGCCATAGAAGGGAATCAAGCCACTAGAGTAGCTGAGGACAGAGGTGCCCAAGGCAGGAAACGGATCAGCAAACAGGCAGCAAACTTCACGGAGGTCTAGTTTTCTGCTGCCTCCAAGGTAGATGGAGTGCACTTCAACTCAGCACCCAAGATAAACACATGACTCCAGAAGTTGTTAACTTGGAACATTCTTCTCCCTCAATAGCCCTCACTTTGCAACAGACCACAGGCTTTCTTACCGAGGTGTAGCTAAGAGGACTGCACAGGAGTGTGACCTTTGTTCCTGCCTGCCAGGAGTGGGGGGACAATGGAGGGTGCACCAACTCTAAATAGTGGAAATCCTATTTGGTCTTTTAAAGGCAGCTCAAAATGGGGAGGACGCGTCTCCTCCTCTGGGGGCCCACGGTGCTGTGCCCAGGGGTGGCACCAACCCAAACAGCCCCTGAAAGCAGGGCGAGGCGGGCCCCCTGCTAGTGACAACCGACTTCCAGGCGAGCCCACACCTTGGCTCCTCCTTTAAGGCCTGCGCGTCGGCGGAGCAGTCCCACCCCCTCATAAGAGAGGGGTCCGGACAGCCTCCCATTTCTTCCGTTTCTCTCCCGTAGGACTTTGAGGCCAAGGACAGGCGCGGGCGCGCGAGGGGTGAGTGAGTTGCCGCGAGCGCGTGTGCGGCCCCGGGCGCTGATTCGGGGCGCAAGGACGCAGAGCGTGGTTGCAGCTGCGCGTGCTACCGAAACGGGAGCCCGCGATCTACGACCTCTTTCTTTCCTCCGACCTGCCGCCCAAAAATGTCGAGGAACAGGAAGAAGGGGGAGTCTAGCTTCAAGTCTGGCGCTTTCTTTCTTTTCCTTCCCGTGTGGCTGTGCGGTGGTCGTTCTGGTCACAGCCCGCTTGACCTGTTGATGCATTTCAGCATAGTTTTAATTAAAGAGAGTTACTGGATTGGAAGGCGGGGGCGGGGGGAACTCATACGGAAGTTACAAGGGGAGCAAGCTGTATTCTTGAGTCTGACGTGCAATGCGAGCATTTAGTCTTGGAAATTGAACTTTTGGGTCAGGTGCTGGCACAGAAACCAGAAGGGAAAGTGAGCATTTGGTAAGGTTGCTGGCCTGAAAATAATGGTGTTTTATAGGTTGTTGTGGATCTAAGACATCACCTAGGATATAATTGGTTTTTCTGAGTATACTGAGCAAATACAGCTACTGATGTTTTTCTGGCAATGCTCTACCTTTTCAGTACTTGAGACACAGAAAATATCCATTGTTACACCTACATATTAGCTGAACTTCATCTGCTGGTCCCATAATGATCTAAAAAGTGTAAGGGAGTGGAGTTGGGAAAAGTAGCTGCAGCCAGTCATTCATTAACTCAACCTTCACTCACAAGCATCCAGGCTGCCGTTCCAGCTGCTGTCATGATAATAGATTAATCATAAAAATGGCAACAGTGAGCAGAGACAGGTGTGAGGGAGTGAAGTTGGGATGGCTGTTTGTGTCTGGGAAAAGTAGCTGCAGCCAGGCAGAGATGCTCCTCACCCCATTTCCCTCATACAGCCATTCATTAACTCAACAAGCATCTAGGCCGGCTTCCAGCTACTATCATGACTGAGCCACACCCTGGTGTTTTCAAGGACTTGCCGATGCCCAGAGGCAGCCTCACCCCCACCCAGGCTCTTAGAACGGGGAGGTGTCTGGAGGAGAAAAGAAGATAAGCCAACAGCATACAGACGGGGAAGCGGAGGCGAGGTCTGAAGGTTGGCAGTATTACAAGCAGGCGAGAGGACTGTCATTCAACTGTCAGGATCACAAGTTATGGTGAGCAGCATATCCTGGTGGGAGTCCTGCCTGGAGCTTTGCTGGGAGCTCAGTAGCAACTAGAAGAGGAACAATCACACTGAGACAGCACCTCATCCCAACTAGAGTAAGAAAGTTTGGAAGGAGGCAAAGGTTGTATGTTACCTTACAGACTTATAGACTTTTGCTTGAACTAAGTGTTAAAGGACTGAGTATTAAAGACATATTTACATGGCAGCATCACCCTGCAAGTCCTAGATGGGTGGTGTTGACCCAGAGCAATAGTCTGTTGTTGAGGGAAGGTTAAGTGTTACGCTGTGATGTGTCCAGTCCTTGGAAAGCAAGGAGACCTCACAAAAAGTAATGGACATAGATATTTGTAACACAAATATAAAGATATCTGAATGAAAGAAGTTCCTTAAATACAATGCAGACTACATGCAAATTAGATTAACATGGCTAATTTACTCATAGACTACTTGCTAACAATTAATAAGCAATGATTTGAGTATATAAATGAATGGTCACCAGTCCAGTAAAGGGAAAGATTTTGTAGTGAGCTTATATAAGCAAAGAGTCTACAGAAGCACTTTAAAGACAATCAAATTGTGTGATGAACCTTCATCTGCAAGAACTCCCTTTGCCAGATGCCTGAAAACATTCTTAGTCTTCCTCACCCACAGAGAATACGGATTAGGAATAATAAAAATGGTACTGAAAACAGGGATGCCAATACTGTACTATCCTTGTGTAAACCAATGGTGTGATTCCATTTGAAATATTGTGTGCAGTTATGGTCACCACCCCTCGAAAAGGATATAAGAGAGTTGGAGAAGGTTTGGAGGAGGACATCTAGGATGATCAGGAGGCTGGAGCAGCTTCCCTATTAAGAAAGTTTGTGGTATTTGGGTCTTTTTAGTCTAAAAAGGTTGCAAATGAGAGGGAACATGACTGAAGTGCACAAAATTATGCATGGTATGGATAAAGTGGATAAGGAGAAGCTGTTTACTTCTTCCCAAAATACTAGCATCAGGACTAGCACCAATGAAATCAAATCCTGGAAGAATCAGGACAGACAAAAGGATTTTTTTTATGCAATGTGTAATTAAACTTGAAGTTTGTTAGTATGAGATGTGGTGCTGGCTACCAGCTTGGTTGGCTTCAAAAAAGCATTGGACCAGTTCATGGAAGCCATGGGGATCAATGGCTATTAGCCTTGATGGTAGTGTGACTGTCTCTGAAGGCCATCTGCTAGGAGACTAGTGGGCTTCTTTGCGCAGTTGGTTGGCTGCTGTGAGGAGAGACTGCTGGACTAGATAGGTGATGGGTCCAATCCAGCAGGACACTGCTTATATTCTTATATTCTTAAGAAGGCTGGTTTGAGGAAGACTCTAAAGTGAGGCCAGAAAATACAGTGTTGTGAAAGAAAGGCAAAAGATTCAGTCAGAAGAGTAGAAGAGCTAGCCAGAATGGATATTGACCTCACCCAACTTTGACTGATTTGTCAAACTCGTTGCAGTCCATAATAAAAAGATTATTTCATGCTTTATATATAAAACAAAATATTGTTATATATATTGATTTTTTCCAAGCATCAGGATCTTGATTCTTGCCTTCGCATTACGTGTCCAAATGCTTCCTAATTTGTGCTTTGAGTGGACATTCTGTTTGTGCTTCATCTGTTAATGAATGATCTGTTCTTGCAGCCCAAGGTATTCTCAGCAATCTTCTCCAGCACCACAATTCAAAGGTATCAGTGTTTCTTTATAGAGCCTTTCTGACAGTACAACTTTCACAGCCTTATGCTAGGCCTTGGGAAGACCATGGCTTTACCTATATGAATCTCAGTTGTCATTGTGATGGCTCTGCACTTTAATACTGGGCTTATAGTAGATTATGTTTTACTCCCAAATTTAGTCAACAGACCTGGAATTTTCAGGTAGTTCTCTGTACAGTGGTACCTCGGGTCACGAACTTAATTCATTCCGCGACTCA